TGTTTCTATTAGAATGTTGAGGCTCATCAAACATTGTTTCAGAACCTCACAGCTTACATGGTTTATTGGAGAATTGTTTTGTTGCAGTACTGGAGACTGAAGTCAGGGCCTGTGCACTAAGTACATCCCTAGTCCTTTGGTTTAATTTTATTTTCAGACAGGGTCTCACTAAGTCACTAATTTGCCTAGGCAGGGCTTAAAATTGGCCTCCTCCTGCCCTCTCAGAGAGCTGGGATTACAGCTGCACCACCAGCCTGGCTGAAGAATAGCTTTTCTTTCTTTCTGGCCTTCCTGCTCAGATGTGAGGACATCCCTTCCTGTGAGGGGCCTTGTTGCCAGCCCAGGGCAATGGTTTCTCCCGTCCTGGTCCCCAGGGCCTGTTGTCCTCTGACCCTCAGTTCTCATCCCACCTTGTGCTGTGCATGGAGCTGCTCCAGAGCCAGCTTCCCCTCCTAGACCCCACAGGACCCTCAACCACCTTCACTCAGGTCCCTTAGGGCCTGCAAATCACCTCTGATTCTGTGAATTAAACATGCTGATAAATCCAGTCATGGTGGCACACACCTGTAATCCCAGCACTGGGGAGGCTGAAAACAGGAGAATCACTAGGCGTCTGAGCTGCATAGTAAGACCCTGTACCACATACATAAATAAAATAAATATGCTGCTAAACCCCGCGTTTCCCAGGGCAACTTGCCATCATCTTTTTTTTTTTTTTTTTTTGCCCCCCCCTTCCAGAGAGAGGGTTTTGCTGCTTAGCTCAAACTGGCCTCAAACTTTCAGTGATCCTCTTGCCTCAGCCTCCCAAGGGCTAGGATTCCAGGCGTGTGCCACCACACTTCATAATCTCCATCTTTCCTGCTGTTTGTTTAGACTTTAGGAAAAGCTTAAACAAGCAAATTGAGCAGCCAGAGCAGTAGATTAGGAGGAGTGGGGAGGAAGGGCTAGTGCTCTGGCTTGCAGTGTGCGTGCAGTCGTAGGAGGACCCGGCTCTTAGGCCAGCTGCTGTGAGCCTGGTGCCCTTGCCAAGCAAAGGAGGTGATGGGGGAAAGCAGCCCGCACAGACGGGAGCCCCCTGCAGCCCCTGGCTCGGCAGGAGCACAGCCAACACAACCAGGGCATGGCCAGGGGCCACCACGGAGAGAGCGTGGAGCCCACTGCCCAGCTGTTCACCTCGGGCCACCCTGGCTCCCCCATGCACAGGGTTTCTGTATTTTCACAAAGAGTAAGGTTTACGTTTCCGTGTTCTGAGAGGCTGTCTCAGGTTTAGACTGCTCCTAGAAGTCTTATAATTATTCCAAGTGGCCAGCACACTGGATACTTTCACTTGTCTGTCACTTGTGAAGCCACATAAATGCGTCCCACTCTCTGCCCTGTATCTTTGAGGATCTGAGTTTTCAAATGCATTGAGTGGCCAACCTTAGTTTTGTTTTCAGGCCAGTTGCTTGGAAGCTGCTTGGCCCAGAGTATTATGTATCGAAAGCGTCCAGTTAAGAGTGGTGCAGTGTCACAGGATCGCGGGGAAGCTTCGTATGGGAACGTGGACATTCGTCTCGGCTCAAGTGCCTTTTATGAGCCATGCTCAATTCCTGAGTAATCAGTTATCCCTGAACTCTCGTAAGTAACCTGATGCACCCTGCCAAGCACATAAAGGCCAGTAATTTTAGTAAAATTCCGCCAACAATGGTATTTCAGACGCACCCTAACAAGGCATTTATTTGCTGAGCATTTCCTCGTTCGCCTTTTACCTTACAGAGTAGACTGTGAAATGCCAGTTGGTTTCTTTGGGCATTCATGAGCCACACACAGGAGCTCCTCGGGCATCGGGTCCATTTGGTGGCTGGTCCATGCGGCACTTCTGGTGTCACCCTACGCCACAGAGCCCCCCAGCCAGCACCTCCAGGGCCCTCCTGGCTCTCTAGATTTGCTCCTTTCAGAGAGTTTGCATGTTCTTCTGCTGGGTCCACACGGCACCAGCCCTGAAAGCAGAACAAGTGCCCACTTAGCAAGCATGACTCCCTGCAGGCTCTGTGCCTCTAACCCCATGGCCCCTCAGGGCCCTCTGGCCTCCCCAGGCCCTGCCTGTGCTCCTGCTCCTCAAGTGCTGCAATCCAGGGGACTACAAGGGACTCTGGCTTCGGTTTTTGGTTTTTGGGGGGTTTTGTTTGGCGGAAACAAGGATTGAACTGAGGCCCTTGTGCTTGCCAGGGAAGTGCTTATTCCATTGAGCCATCTCCCCGGTCCTCTGGCTTCGTTTTGTTTGGTTGGTTTGGTATTTTTGAGACCAGGTCTTGCTATGTATTCCAGGCTGGCCCTGAGCTCTGCAATCCTCCTGTCTCAGCCTCACGAATGCTGGGATTACAGGAGTGTGCCACTATGCTTGATGAGTACTTCTAATTAAAAAAAAAAAAAAAGCTGCTGGGGATATAGCTCAAAGGTATAAGCACCAAGCACCTGCGTGGCAAGCACAAAGTCCCGAGTTCAATTCCCAATAACACACACACACACACACACACACACACACACACACACACACGCTTTAACTTTTTAATTAAAAAACAAGATTGAAGGTGGCTGGGGAGATGGCTCCGTAGAATAAGCACTTCCTTTGCAAGTGCAAGGGCCTGAGTTCAATCCCCAGTTCTGGAAAAAAGGAAAAAAAAAAAAGAGTAAATAGGTATCTAAGTGCATCTCTTGCCAGCTGCTTGGTCCAGCCATCTTCAGGACCTATAGGGTGACTTGCAAGTGAAAGGCTTCTGCATATGTTCTCACTGTAGGGGAAGAAATACCTTGCGGGGCCAGCTGCCACCTCCACCTCTCCAGGTGGAATGTGGGATTTGTTGTGTTCTCCAAGGCTCTTGTTCCCTCCTGGCGGGGAAGTGGCCTGCCACCAATACCTGGGCGGACCTGTGATTCACATGCCTGTTTCCAGCCAGGACCTTGGAGGCCGGTTCCCCGGGGACCCTGAAACCCTAGCCATGCTTGCCCTCTGCTGCTCACCCCGCCCGGTTCCCAAGGAGTAGCGCTTTGCTCACACAGCTGAGATCGCAGTGATGTTGCTATTTTAGTCAACCGGACTCCCGGCCAAGGGTGGTGGGGGTCTTGCATGCATGCCCAGCGCTGACCCCGGGCTAGCATTACCCTTGGGGAACTCTGAGTGGGATTTCAGGACGTGGGGCTGCTAACACCTGGCAGCCACCCTCACTAGGAAGCCTGAGACGGGAACATAGCTCGCAGCAGTACCCAGGGCCCTGAGTCTGGCTGGGACAGGAGTGGATTCTCCATTTGTGATTAGGCCAGAGCAAGGGACAGGATGGAGGGGCCCTTGTCTCCCTGCGCCCTGTCAGGCAGTCACAGCAGGTGCCAGGGAGCCCAGGTGCCCAGGAGACTGGACAGGCCAGTGTTGGGGAGCCCTGGCACCTGGGAGGTTGCCATGTTTGAAGGCTGGTCTGCTGGGCTGTCAGCAGTGGGCTGGTCGCTTCTCTGGGCCTGTTCCCTACCCAGGAGAACCAGTTCAATAAAAGGCGTCCATGCTCAGGGAAGCTTCATAGAGACGTGCGGCCCTCAACAGCTCCATAATGGGGCCAGGGAGATGGCTCAGTGAAATAAGCGCTTCTCTGGCAAGCACAAGGGCCTGAGTTCAATCCCTGGTTCCTAAAAAAACCAGCTCTATAATGAGCATGCACCCCAGCAAGTGCTCCAGAGGCAGCTCCTGCGCAGCATCGCAGCTGGGGTGGCCTCTCAACTGCTGGTCCCCAGAGAAGTGGTGCAGACTGCCAGCAAAGGCCCTAGGCTGACCTGGGGCCAAGTAGCTCTCAGTCTTAGCTAAGCATAACGTCTGCCTGGCTCGTCTATGAGTGCTTCTTATCAACTATGCCCATTCTTGTTCTCGTGACTGTTTCTTGTCATTTTGGATACTGAGGTGTTTCACCTGTGTTATTTTTTTTTTTTTTTAAGTCCATGTGTGATACTGGTTTTCTGCCCTTATACTAGTTAGCAGTGTGCCTTACAGTGACTACATTTTATGTATTTATTAGTTTTTATCTCTGTAAAAAACGTGTTTGCAGTACTGGAGATTGAACTCAAGCCCTTTGCGCTGACATGCATCCCAGCCCTTTGGAACTTTTTTTTTTAAAAATTCGGACACAGAGCTGCTAAGTTGTCCCAGCCAGGCTCCAATCTGCACTCCTCCTGCCTTGGCCTCCCCTATTGCTGGGATTACAGATGTTGCACCCCAAAACCTGGCTTAAGCGTTAAATGCTGAACCCGCCTTGCCTCACAGGAACAAACCCACTCAGTCTTGGTGTGTAATTCTTCTGTTGTGTCACTGGATTCTGTAATTGTGGAGGACTTTGTGCCTTGCCTCTGAGAGGTGTTTGTGTTTTCTGTCTTGCACTCTGTCTTCATCTGGTTTTGGTACCAGCATAAAACTAGCTCCAGATGATAAAGTAGGAAACATCACTTCCTCTTCTGTTTGCTGAACTGATTTTTTTCTGTATTTTAGGGAAGGGTGTTCAGGGTCTCACTACTAGATTGGACTTTTAGTGATCCACCTGTTTACAGCCTCCCAAGAGCTGGGATTACAGGTGTGCGCCACCACCCCCAGTTTCAGTGGCAGCCACAGCGCGTGGGCCAGCACAGCATGTGGTATCAGGGATCAAACTAGGGTCCTTATGCTTGCCAGGCAGGCACTTAGACTACTGAGCTATCTTCCCAGACGCAACCCTCTCCCTTTTTGATCACACAGTGCCTAAAGGGACAGCCTGTCACCCAGCCTCCCAGTCCCTCGGGCCAGTGCATGTACTTCAGTCTCTGTGGCCACTGGTTGGGTGCCTTGTGGAGGAGAGAAGGCTGGTTGAGTCATCATACCAACCTGGCTTCCTGGCTGTGCAGGGGCAGGAAGGTGGGACAGGGCCATAGCCTCCCAGGTCACAGTGCTGCCCCTCAGAGGGGCATGGCAGATGGTGGCAGGCCCCTCCCTCATCCTGTCCCCTTTGAAGCAGGAGGACCAGGACACCATGGAAGCAGACCTGGACAAGGACGAGCTGATTCAGCCACAGCTTGGGGAGCTCTCGGGCGAGAAGCTGCTGACCGCGGAGTACCTGGGGGTGAGTGTCACCCGGTAGGCGGGATAGGGCTGTGTCTCACAGATGTCCTGGGAACAGGCTGTGGCTGCTAGACAATGGCCTGGAGACCTGAATCGGATGGTAGCAGCACGGCTGAGGAGCTGGCGGTGGTGCAATCTCGCTTCTGCAGCGCCTGTGCCACTGATTAAGAAGGCAGTGGATGGGGGTGGCGAGGCAAAGTGGAGAATGAGAGAGACAGCAGGGACCCAGGACAGCGGGCACCAAGGCCCCTCAGGCATGGGACAAGGAGGAGGCGCGGGAAAGGACAGAAAGACAGCTGAAGGCCAGCAGGGACCCCCCAGGAAGCCGTGTGGCAGGAACAGAAGAGAGCAGTGTTTCGGGGTGGGCCCAGCCATAAGCCCAAGCATCGAGAGGCTGAGGATGCAGCCTGGGACCCACAGCTAAGGGGGAAGGAAAGGCTTGGCGGGGAGGTAGACCAGAAGGGGTGCAGGCAGGTCCGTCGGCCCCCAGTCATCCCCAAACTCCACAGACAAGTGTGCAGGGCTCCTAGGGCCATCCGGAGCCTGCAGGTTGTGCACAGCAGGACAAGAGGGAAGGGGGGTGGTTCAGAGGGGTCCTGAGCTGAGAAGGCCTCGGTCTCCATGGGAACGAGCGGCTGTCAGTGTAGGGTGCCATTCAGCCAGACTGGAGACCTCCTGCTACTTCACAAGCAGGTGACTGGGAGCCCAGGAACCAACAGGTGGGGCTCCTTTGCAAAGTAAGCAAACACCTGCGGAGACCACGGCACCTGTGACCCGGCCCCATGACCCACACTCACGGCCGCCAAGCTCCTTAGTGCCAGCACAGTTTCCCACATGCGTGTTTATCTCACTGGTCAGTGACCACTGGGTGGAGACCTGAGGGGTGAGAATGGAGTATGAGCTGGGTGTGCTGGCTGTGCCTGTGATCCTAGCCTCAGGAGGCTGAGGCAGGAGGATCGCCAGGAGTTCAAGGCCAGCCTGGGCTCCACAGGAGTTGGAGGCCAATGTAGGCAACATAGTGAGGCCCTGTCTCAAACAACAAACAAAACAGAACAAAAAGCTAAGATCGAGTTCCCTGTAGAGGTGGCATCCATGCGCATTCACCCTCATGGTGTGAGTAACAGAATGCAGAAAACAGGGTTTGAAACCGAGAAAATTCACTCTGTTGGAGGCACAAGTCTGAAAAAGCAAGATGTTGTTGGCCCCGGGCTCCCTTGGAGGCTCGAAGGAAACGTGCTTGTGTGTTCTCTGCCTGTCTGCACATACCTCCCCTTCGTGGGCACCTCTTCTGTCCCTGGGGAGACCCTTGTCACTGTGCTTGGGGCTCAAGGACAGACTCCCACCAAGGCCACAGTGCAGGTTCTAGGGCCAGGCCATGGATTTAGCTTTTGGAAGCAGCGGTTGTACCCCAACACCAGGTCCCCAAGGGGTTATTGTTCATCCTGGGAACATCTGTACCTGACTAGAAGGCAGTGACATCTGCATTGCATAACTCCAGCGTTGCACATGCAGTTGGTCACCTGTCGCCCTGAGGCCACCTCAACCACACAGGCTGGGATCGCCAGCCTGCGGCCCTTGGGTCACAGGTTCCAAAGAGGCAGAAGTTTGTCTTCCCCAGGGAAGATGAGAAAGCAGGACTTAGGGCCCCATTCTGATGTGCCGGGACCTTCAGGTTACCCCAGGTGAGTCTGAAGATGGTGGCTTTTTGAAATATCTGGTCAGAAGCATTATACTTGAAAAGTTCTTAAATGCAAGTCATTTGCTTAAGACCATGGAAAAGCTGAAGGCATTGCTGCCACCTTCCAGAAGCTCACGAAGGAAGACAGAACATGGCAGAGCTGTCCCCAAGAGCAGGCCATCACATCCAACGAGCTGAAGCTGGACCCAGACCACAAGGTGTGGATTACAAGTGTCTACACTGGCCCCAGGCCCCTGACCCAAGTCCCAGGAATCAGTACCTACTGAGCTCACCAGCCAGCCCACACCTGCCGGGGAGACAGCGCTGCGTCATGGACCGCCGCAGGGTCAGGGTGCAGGGAGTGTCCCTGGGATTTCTGCACACACAGAGGGGACTCAGCTCACGCCTGCCTGTCCTGCAGCAGCTTTCGGAGCTTTCCCTTCAACTCCTCCTACAGAGAAGTCCTAGGTTATACAGCTGCTCACAGAGACTGGGACACCTTCTAGAGCCCCGTGTGTGTGTGTGTGTGTGTGTGTGTGTGTGTGTGTGTGTGTGTGTGTAACCTTTAACAACAGTGATGGCGTGTCTCACAAGAAGATGCTTCTCACACCTGTGTGCATCTCAGTTCACTTTCGCAACAAACTTACTGGGCCCATTATGCTAGAAGCTACATTATTATTTATTTTTGTTTTTTGAGAGAGTCTCACGATGTGCTCCAGGCTGATCTGGAGCTGGCTTGTGGCGATCCTCCTGCCTCAGCCTCCTGAGTCTGGAGATTACAGACCACCACGCCTAGCTTTCTATTTTTTGAACACCTCTATCTATGACAAGTTTGGAATGCTTTACCAACCTAAGCATAGAAACATTCTTTTGTCCATGTGTGTGAGGCATTTGCAGTGTTTTCCGCTGAGAGTAAAGGAAGTGAGATGTAGTTTAACCAGGTGTGTGTGAGGCCGAGGGAGCTGCAGGCCTCAGCTTCCTTGTGTGGCTCATTGTTATCCCCTTATGCTGAGGATTGCAGCCCTTTGAAAGTTAGCATGAAATTCCTGTGTGTTGACTAGAAATATTCAAGGAACAAGAATTTGAAGAGAAAAAAAAATTAACTTATGTTCCGTTGTCATGGGGGGGGTCCAAAAATGGAACTCCAGACCTTGAAGGTACCCAGGGAGGTTGGGCGGAATGCAAAGGCAACCGCAGTCGGTCACCCCGTGCCCATGGTGGCACAGGTGCCACCACCGAACAGGCTGCAGTCTTCCTTCCTTCTTTTATTTCCAGGAGCGGGGACAGAGCTCCATCTCCAGCCCACGCTGGCACTTAGTGTGAGGCAGAAGTCGCGTAGTCAGTCACTTGTGGGGGGCCTGGCAGGGCAAGGGCGGGGGTCGCCCCACAGGCCTCCTTCTGCTCTGTCAGCTTTACAGTGATTTCGCCTTTCAACAGTTTTTCATAATCATGAACAGAGCCCTACTCAGGCTACAGAAAACTTGGAACAAAGAAAAAAAAATTACTTAGTTCTGCTATCCGATAACTACTCAGCCAATGTCAGGGTTCATTTCTTTGCAGTCTTTTGTGTATTTTTAACGTAACTGAAAGGACCGTTTATGTACATTGTTATTACCTGGTATTGATTTAATGTTTTAAATAAATATTTTTTCCTCATAACCACTTACTTATCAGGATAAATGGCCATATAATATGTCAATTGACTGTGCCACATTTTACTTATTTATTTTTCTACTACTAGACAGATTGTTCAGTTTTACTCCATAAGAATTTTATAATAAGTGGGGCTGGGGAAGTAGCTTGGAGGTCTAAGCACCCACCTGGCAAGCATAAGGACCTGGGTTCCATCCCTGGTACCCCCTGCCACAGTGGCCCCAGAACCCGAGTGTGCCATGCGTGCCACCGAAATGGGATGTGGTGGCACACACCTGTAATTCCAGCACTGGGGAGGCTGAAACAGGAAGATCACTGTGAGTCTGAACTGCATAGGGAGACCCTATACCAAATAAATAAATAAAATATTTTTTAAAAAAATTTTAAATGGGGGCCGGAGAGATGGCTCAGTGGAATAAGCACTTCCCCGGCAAGCGCAACAGCCTGAGTTCAATCCCCGGTTCCGCCAAAAAAAAAAAAAAGAGAGAGGAAAAAAATTTTAAAAAAACAAAAGATAAATAAAACAGAGGGTAGGGAAATGGAGAACTAAATTGTATCAAAAAATTTAAAAAGGGGCCGGGGAGATGGCTCAGTGGAATAAGTGCTTGCCTGGCAAACACAAGGACCTGAGTTCAATCCCCAGGTCTGAAAAAAAAAAAAAAATTTAAAATCAAAAGCCTGGTTTGCTCCAGAGCTATACTCAGCTGCTTCGGGCCCCAGTTTCCTTTTATCTCCTCTGCTTGGCTTGTTTTATTTTTTTTCCCATAATTTTATTGATAAACAAATAGCAATGAGACAATTTCAAATCAAACTGGTAGGACAGTTTCAATAATAAACACATTGCATACATTCTTCCTAGTGGTTAATTGCTGTACAAGATGTGGACATGATATCCTATTTACAAACACAATTAGAATAAATCACTCTATTCATCAAGAGAATATAACTATCCTAACCTCTTTGAGTGCACAGATACAAAATGGACATTCATCTGTATACCCTTTTTTTGTTAAGTTCTGTTATTTGAATATTATAGGTGTGTAAACTCAGCAAAATATTCTAAAAGAGTCCAGTAGCCCATAATAGTATTGGGTCTTCCGCTTGACTGGCAGTGTCAGAAATTGTTGACCTGAGTCCCCTACAGCTCAACAAAACACCATGGCTTTACTTCTTATACTTTGTTTTTATACTTTTCTGCTGGATGGTTAAGACCAAGGTAAAGCAGGACCTATGCAATAAGAGTTGTAGCTTTTGGGTCTGATAAGGTCAGTCAAATCCCCTCAGGATTTATCCCGAGATCCTGTACCTCAGATTGTAGGACCTTTGTCAGTGTCAGCCATGTGGATGAGTCACAGCCATTGCTTGGCCAATGTGCTCTCTGTGAAAGCCTGAGAGAATGTTTTCTCTCCATGTGACTCTCCTTAGGCACACTCTACATCATCGATCACTTTCCTCTTTGGCCCCATAATCTCCTTGATCAGAAAATTTGGGACACCACTGAGTTACATGACGTTACAGTACAAGTTCTCAAATGTCCTGAGTCTTAATTGACCTTAGAAGGCTAGGGCCAAAACGTTGGCTTTCCTTGCGGCCCTCCTTTTTCTCTAATTTTGGTCTGCACACTTAGGTTGTTAAACCTCCAGAAGAGAAGCTTATTGTTATTACCATACAACTTAGGCTGTTAAGCTTAACCTCACTATCTGTCTGCATATCAAACATCTTAGGCATAATATGGAACAGGTATTTTTCATCAAGTATTGATATGTTGAACTTTAAGTCCCTACAGAATACTTGGTTTGTTTTAAAATTAACACTGCTGCACAGCACCATGTGCAAACCTCCAAGGATGTCCCAGCGTCCTATGCTCTGACAGCCCCGTGCGTCCACCCTGCAGGCCGCTTCTTGGAGACCTCTGCATGCTCCTGGCTGTGTCCTGGAGCAGTGTCACAGCCTGTTCTCTTCCATCCCCAGATCATGACCAACACGGGGAAGACGCGGCGGAGGGGCCAGGCCAGCATGCAGCGGAGTGGGGATGGGCCCCTGCGCAGGCCTGTCACCCCCAGTGGCCACAGGACCGGGTGCCCAGTGTAAGTTGGGCACAAGAGTCAAGAGTCTGCCTGCCGGAATTCGCTTTGCTTAGCTGCCCTGTAAGGTGCATGTGACAAAATGTGAAATAAAACAGTGGTGCTGGGAAACAGTTACCTCTTTATGATTTATCTTCAGGGCACTTTTGGAAGGAAGTGGGTGGACCTTCACCCCCTCCCCTGTCTCCAGGTTTCTTTTTCCAGGAGGACAAGTGGGTCCGTTGCAGGACTCCCAGGTCACTTCCGAGGAGAGGCCCCAAGTGTGGTGGGGCCCCCAGGTGCACTCCTGCTTGTCTTCTCTGCAGCCTCCCTTAGCGCAGGCCCACTGTTGGGGTGTGAGCCACACAGTTAAGACTCCAGATCAGTCAGGCCTGGTGATGCCCGCCTGTAGTTCTAGCACTAGGAGGCTGAGGCATGAGGGTCTCTGTAAGTTTGAAACCCTCTGCAGGGCCATCACACAGTGAGTTCAAGGCCAGCCTGGAATACATAGCAAAACCCCATTTCAGCACACACACACACACACACACACACACACACTTCATATCTATTTTTAGATCATTGAGGCACCTCTGTGGGATAAGGGGAAGGCTCAGGGACCAATGGAGAAGGTGCCTGACAGGCATGAAGCTCTGGGCCCCACACCCAGCACCAGAACACAAGCCAGTGAGCAACTCTGCACGTATTCAGCCCCAGAGCCACAGCCTTGCTCCTGTCCCTTGGGACAAGCAAGCTACTGCGGAGCCCAGAGCCTGCTCACTCTTCCCCATGGGCTTGGCTACTGCCCTGACCTGGGTACTCTAAAGGACTCTGCAGAGTCCCCTGTGGAGAGGACAGGCCCAGCGCCTGCATTTACCCATCTGAGCCTACTTGCATTTTTAAAAGACTGAAAAAATAAATGTTTTTTTGTTTGGTACTAGGGCTCAAACCCAGGACCTCCATACTGAGCTGTATTCCCCCCCCCAACTTTTTTTTTTTTTTTTTTGGTACCAGGGATTGAACTCAGGACCTTGTGCTTGCCAGGCAAGCACTTATTCTAGTGAGCTACCTCCCCAATTCCCTATTTTTTTTATTTTGAGATAGGTTCTCACTAAATTGCCAGTGCTGGGTTCTAACCTGCATCCTCCTGCTTCAGCCTCCCAGAGCATTGAGATGACAGGCCGGCGCCACCCCACTTGGCAAAAATATATCAAATGTTAGGTGGCTGTGTTCAGCGGTCAGGATGGCGGGTCATTCTGCATATTCTCAACCCAGTTTCCTAACCCTCCCCCTCTGGCCTTGGCCCAGCCCTCCTGATCCCAGGTGCCATTGTGCCCAACTCTGCCCACCTGTCGCCTCTCTGTGACCTCACATGTCCCTTCCTGAGGCCATCAGCCAGCTGCCACCCTGGCTGCTTTGGTCCCCATTCGCAGCCCTGGGTCTGGGGCGCAGGCCCAGGCCACCTGGGGTCCCTGCCTGAGGCCCCCGAGGACCAGCACCCTCCCACGGCCACCCAGACACCTCATTCCCATTGCTGTTGGCAGCAACCTAAGGGCCAGCACAGGCCTCTCCTGGGGACCCCAGGTCCTATTCCCTCCAGGTTCTCTGTTGTTGCTTCCACCCCAACACCCACATGCTCTAGGGGTCCCCGCCTTCCTGCAGCCCAGGGCAGGCCTCTTTCCTGCCCCATGCCCCCATGATCATGCAGGGACCTTCTGGCGCTGACCACCATTCCTTTGGTTTACATCTGCGCTCTCAGGTGGGGCTGAATGCCCAGCCCACCGCAGGGCCCTCTCAATCACTGCCTTGGGGACCCTGTTACCTCACTGGGGACAGAGGGCTCCATTGTCTTGTAGTGCCTTAAGTCTGGAACACTGCAGTGTAAATAAATGTTTTTGAGTCAGATGTGGTAGTGCATGCCTGTGATCCCAGCACTCGGCAAGCCGAGGCAGGAGGAGTCACAGTAAGTGTGCAGCCAGCCTGGACTTCATAGTGAGGCCTTGTCTCAGAAAAAAAAAAAAAAGAGAGAGAGAGAGAGAGACACCACCCCCAGTCTTGTGCTTGCTGCTTCCAGTCATATGGTGTGGTCCCTGACTGGACTCCTTCCTCCCTCACCCTACTCCCTCTGCCAGGACAAGGACCTGAAGCCCTATGCCTGAAGCTGTTGGCTGCAGGTGTCCTGGGCCTGCATCACCCCGAGCTGTGAGACCAGCTTGTGTATTAGACATCACCCAGCCAGGAGTGGTGGGGTCGCCACACGTACAAGGAATCCCTGCACTCTGGAGGCTGAGGCGGGAGGATCACAAGTTCAAACTCAGCCTGGACAACGTAATAGTTTAGCCAGACACTGTCTCAGAAAAGGGGCAGTGGGCCCTGGGGATGTGTGAAGGTCCTGAGTCAATCCCTAGTGACACTGATAACAATAATAACAGTGATAACAATAAGTAAAACCGTTTAGGAGGAGGGTGCAGGCCCAGGTTTGAGATGCTGCGTGGTAGCAGCCATCGGTCGGCTGTCTCAGCTCTGTGTAATTCTCACTGTTTTTCATACTCTACTGCAGGCTTGAAGACCATCTCGCCTCTCCCCAGAATGCCCAACAGGCCAGACACGGGTCCCCACGGTCCCTGCGGGCCAGCTACTCAGAGCCCACACCCGGGGTCCATGAGCACCCCCCGCCCTCGCCATGTAAGAAGCCACCCCCCTGCGGTGGGGTCGGGTGAGCCGGAGACACCCAGAGTCAGGGGCAGAAGCTGGAGGGTTCTGGGCCAGCTACTTCCGGGACGCTTGACTTACAACTTGAAAAGACAAATTTTAAAAAGTGGCTAGGGATATAACTCACTGTAAAGGTCCTGGGCTCAAGCCTCAACCCCACCCCATGCTGGGAATTGAACCCAGGATCTTTGCATTGAACTATATCCCCAGCCTTTTTTTTTTTTTTCAGTACTGGGGATTGAACTCAGGACCCTGTGCTTGCCAGGCAGGGACTTATTCTACTGAGCTATCTCCCCAGCCCCAGCCCTTTTTTAATTTTTTATTTTGAGACAGGGTCTTGCTAAATTGCCCAAGCTGGATTCAAATTTACAATCCTCCTGCCTCAGCCTCCTGGAGTGCTGGGACTGTCGGCCTGCACTACCTCACCCGGCTTCAAACCCAATGCAGCAGAGCAGCTCCGGGGCCAGGGCCTCTGTACCTCAGTTCTGGTGCCAAGGGATCAGCATGGCTTCAAAGGCTGCCCAGGGTTAGAACACATGTCGGGGGGCAGGCAGCCCTGGACCTGTGTGGGCTGTGACGCACGTAGCTTGAGTTAGCCAGAGTCCAATGGGGGATAAAGATTTTTTTGTTGTTTTTTCAGATTCCAGAAAGTATTTTGAATCAGAAATGTACAAAGTATTTGTTTTCAATTTTTGAAAGGAAATTGGAAGGATGGTGAGGAGGACAGATAAGCCTCCAATTTCCACTGCAGTAGGAAGAGAGCGGAGGCGCTGAGATGCCAGCTGGGGCGTCTGAGGCTGGGCTGTGGGGACCAGAGCCCGAGCCCAGCCCATGCCAGGTTCAGAGCCAGGACAGGAAAAGGATTTGGGGCTTGGGGTGGGAGCGGCACTAGAGGTCCTGCAGGCTTTGCTCCTGGGTTATTCTGCATGTCTTGTGAGTTGTAAATATTCATTTGCTTTCACAACGTGACAGGCTCCCTCCTCTCCCCTGAGACTCCCCTGACAGGTGGAGGGCTTGAACGGTCTGACAGCTTTCGCCCATTTGACCAAATGCCATTGAGATCAAAATGCTTCGGAAATGGGAGAGGACCATCAAGCCAGCCATACTGCTAGGGTCACTTCGGTGGTCAGGATCATTCAGGTCTTTGTACTGATTGTAAATATGATCGCATGCTCTGTGTGTGCGTGAATACATGTGTGTGCGTGCATGCGTATTGCATGTGTGTGCATGTGTGTGTGTGCATGTGTAGCTGGCTGTGGAACCCAGGGCCTGGCATGTGCCGGGCAAGCACTGTGCCCCTGAGCTGCGCCCCAGGCCTGCTTGTCCTCTTTACCGAGAGCTGTGCTGCTGCTCCCTGTGGGCGGCCCCTGAACTTGCCACGCACAGAAACAGTTGAGTGGTGGCAACGGCTGTTGTCACAGCATTGATGTTGTTTCCAAGCATGATCGATTTGAGCCCTTAGAAAGTCCGGGCCTTGGCAAAGTATGATTCCTCGCATGGGTCCCGTGGGTGCATGCCAGGGCGTTGTGCCTTGGCGGTCACGGCCAGTGCCCAGGGTCTCTGCCCAGAGAACCCCCAGCTACTCAGCTGCACCTGGAGTGGGCAAATCCAGCTCACAGTGCACCCCGGGAGTGCTGGGCCCGCAGCCCAAGGGTCCCAAGGACCCAGGCCCCTTACACCATCCCCCGACCCTGCTTCTGTCCCTGCTGGAGACTGGATGTTCACTGCCCTCACCCAGCCCCATCAGGCCGGCTTCCAGCTCAGGCCAGCACCCTGAGTCCTTAAAAATCCTGTCCTTGTTTTTATGCTTAGATTGATCCCAAGACCTTTGCAGTGAGCCACATCTCCAGCCCCTTTTTACTTGTCATTCGGAGATAGTCTTAACAGAGTCACTAAGTGGCCCAGGGGAGGATTGAATTTGCCACCTCCCGCCTCAGCCTCCCAGAGTACTGGTACTACAGTGCTGTGCAACTGCATGGGCAGAGTTCTCCCATTGAGAAGGAAGACCTGAGGTTTCTACTCCTTGGACGCCTTTCTACATCGCTGGTTCAGACTCCATCCTTCCACTACCCCCTCTGTCTGGCCTCCATCAGCCACCCTGCACATGCACCTCAGCTGGAGCAGTGCCTGCCGGAGGGCCCCTCCCCAGCCATGTCGCAGCCCCGATGGGGAGCCCAGGCGCTGTTGCCTGGCCCCAGGGTCGCAGGACAAGAGCAGGGTGGAGGCTCGGTAGCAGCCTGTGGAACCCCACTTGCCCAGGCACTCGCTGGCCCTACAGGGGTGCTGAGGGGCTCTGTCACATGCAGGGCCCAGGCCCAGATAAGCCTGGCTGCCAGGTGCAAGCAGTACAGCGAGGCAGTTGTGGCCCTGCTGGCCATGCATTCCCTGCGCCTCCCCGTGCCGGGCCAGCACACTGAGTTTTCTCCTCCCCGGCAGCTGCGGACACCACAGCAGAACCACAGGAAGAGCCATGGCAGACAGCCAGCTGGTCAAAGGAGCCACCTCAGAACCCAGGCAGCGGAGAGACCACCAGGTAGGGTACAGGCATCACAAGGCCTGAGTCCCCACCACCTGGGTCCCCACTGCAGTACATCCAGGTCTCCAGGAGCCCCCACCGGGGATTGAACTCAGGACCCTGTGCTTGCCAGGCAAGCACTTATTCTACTGAGCTATCTCCCTGGCCCCTGGAAGCCAGCCTTGAACTCACTATGTAGCCTAGGCTAGCCTTGAATTCATGGCAGTCATCCTGCCTCAGCCTCCTGAGCACTGGATTCCAAGAGTGCACCACTGGTATAGGAGAGATATAACTGTCTGCCTGCTAAGTGTCGGGTGTGCTGCGTTCACATCCCCTGAAACGGAAGAGTGAAGTCCAAAGGACAGATGTAAGAGTAGGGAAGGTGTACTGGCCAATAGGAACAGCTCGTGAGAGACAGGTTCCTGAATGGGTAGCCACTGAGGCCTGTGGCTCGGGTAATGTATACAGCAGTGTGGGCACAACGTCGAACTGTAATCAAGCAGTAAGATCGAAAGTAGAGCGGTGTAGCTAACACTGATCCAGTAGGGAAGCAGGGTGCATAGCACGAGCGTGCGGGTGACATCATCAACCGGCCCCATCTATGACTTCTAAAACAGGAACATTTGGAGAAGGGATGGGTCCAGACAGCCTGTCACCCATCCAGGTATCTGATGCATATCTGGACTCAGTGGGCTGGCTGGTATCAATTACAGCATAATCTCAAGTTTCCACTCATCCCCTAGGGTCTGGCCCTAGACTTGCAGCTCAAGGACTGGCCTTCCTTCCTCAGATGCACCTCCACCCACAGCTCTGTTGTCTGCATTTCACCAACTTCCTAGATAGCCCAGTGCCTCTCTGACTGTGAATTAATTTTTCATTTGGTTTGGTTTGAAACAGAGTGTCAATGTGCAGCTCAGCCTGGCTGTGGATGAACTGCAGCCCAGGCTGGCCTGCAACTCTCAGCAATCCTCCTGCCTCAGCCTCCCTTCCCAAGAGGTGGAACTACAGGCATGTGCCACCACACCCACTATTGTGTGTTAGTTTTTTTTAATTATTTATTTATTTTTATTTATTACATTTTTTTAAAAAAATATTTATTTATTTATTTATTTAGTGTGTGTGGCCAGCTCAGCTCACCAGGGGGCAGGGCTGGCTGGCATGTGGTGCTGGGGATCGAACCGCAGTCCCTGTGTTTTGCCAAGCTTGTTTCAAGTAGGTGCTTTAGACCACTGAGCCATCTCACCAGCCCCGTGTGTTAGTTTTTGTTTGTTTGTTTGTTTGGTACTGGGGGTCAAACTCGGGACCTTGCGGGACCTTGCGCTTGCCAGGTAGGCATTTACACTACTGAACTCTCTCTCTGACCCTGTGTATTAGTTTCCATGTAACTCAGCTGTCTACACTGCCTGTGCAGCTGCCTGGGCTTCTCTGCCCTCCCCTCCCCTCATGCCAGGCTGCCCAGCCCCTCAGGTCTCAGCCAGTCATGGCACAGTGCAGCTCCCCTCCCGAGACTTTCACAGGCCAGGGCTGTCCCTGCTGTCCTCAAAGACACCACATGGGGCCCTTCACTGTCCCCACGCTGGCAGTCAGCTTGCATGTTTGATGAATGTGTAGGAAAGGGAGGAAAGAGCAGCCGCATGTGACTGGTGGGAACGTCTGTCTCAGAGTCCTCCGGCTTGCTGTCCCATGTCTTCAGGAAAGGGTGGGAGAGGCACTGGGTGGACAGCACAGGGCCCAGGCCCACGGCCGGCTGAGTGCTTACACTGCCCTGTCACTTGGTCTCCCTGTTGTCCCTGGCCACCCCTGCAGCCCTGGACCCTCTATGTGGCCTAGGACAGGTGCGGGCCCCTCAGGCGGCCTCCTGTCCCATCCTGGGCCAGGGTCCTATGCACCAAGCAGCACTAGTCCTGCCCCAGACTGGAGGCCGCTCTACAAGCACAGGTTGAGCCTCCCACTCAGGAAATCTAGACTAAACTGGTCAAGCGCTGACACTGGCCTCAGCGGAAAATCACACACCAAGAAACTCTGCTTCACGTTAATAAAAATACTGAGTTCAATTAGTCAGCCAGGAGATGTACTCCTGTAATTGCAGCACTTGGGGAGGCTGAGGCAGGAGGAGCCCAAGTCCAAGTCCAAGTCCTACCTGAGCAACTTAGTGAGACCCTTCTCAAGAAGAATTTTTGTCACTCATGGTAGAGGACCCCAGGATCTGACTGGTGTTGGGCCCCAGTGTTCATTCTGCCACATCCTGGGATGTCACAGCCCAGGCAAGGTATGTGGCAGAAGGAGAGAGCTTCCCAGCACCAGGACCCTGTGTGTTCTGACTATGCCTTCCATGCAGACTGCTGTGGCCAAAACCCCTGAGACAGTGTCCCAGTGCAGCTGACATCCTGCCAGGGCAGGGTGCACATGAGTGACCTCCCAATCTACATATCCACCAAAACCCGTTCCTGCCAGGCCCAGCGCCACCCAATGCCATGTGCCCCCTGGATCAGAAGCCACTGCCACCCCAGCCATCCCCACCCATAACCTGCTGGCCTTTCACGGCTCGGGCTGAGTGCACCTTGGGGCCCTGGCCTGCCCTCCCCATCTCCTCACCACTCCCACCGCAGCCCCCAGCGCTCCTTCCCTGAAGCAGCCAGGGCTGCCTCCCCAGGCAGAGGGGCAGCAGTGTTTAAAGGATGACTTGGGATCCTCCCAAGCAACACAGAGCGAGGGATTACTGTTAGCGCTTGGCTCCTATGTGGTTAGAGGCTTGGTGAGTCCAAGGTATGATAGGAAGCAGGGCAAGGGGGCACAGGCCTGCGAGCCCAGCACTGGGGAGGCTGGGCAGCAGGGTGGCTGCGAGGGCGAGGCCACCTTGGCCTGCACAGCGAGTTCCAAGCCAGCCTGAATTGTGTAGCAAGACCTTGTGTCAGAGAGAGAGAGAGAGAGAGAGAGAGAGAGAGAGAGAGAGAGAGAGAGAGAGAGAGGTTTTGAACCAAATAATGTAAGAAAGGGACAGCCTCCCTTGACCTTGCTGGTAGATTCTTATCCAGGTAAGAAATGTGTCAGTGAAGCACTCAGCTCATTACTAGAGCCCCACCTTTGAAAGTCCAAAGAGCAGGAATTTTCTCCGGGTGACCTTTGGTCCCAGCGCCTGCCACATTTCTCAGCACATGTGTGTTGTCTCTGTGAACAAAAGAGTAGCAGAACCCAGGGTCAAAGCCAAGATGCAGCAGCCAGGTGATGTCACACAAGGGTGCACCGAGGGACTGTGATAAGACCCAGAGAACTGTAGCCAGAGGCTGGGAGAGGCTGAGAGACAGCAGCAGGGACCCGAGACTGCAGACTACGCAGGGGAAGTGCACACAGACGCAGGAGGTGCAGCCCGGCAAATATTGGGTGATAACGTTAGACGTGGTGGCCCACACCTGCAACCCCAGCCCTTGGGAGGTACTGAGTCAATTAATTAAAAGCTATACTCTAATCTCCATCCTTTGGAACTCGGTTCAAAGACTTCTTGCCTCAACTGGGTCAGTTTTATGCTAGTCTTTTCCTAACTTGAACCTGGAGACCTTTTGGACAGTGTCAGTATGATTTTTCTAATTGTGTTTTATTTGTTATTTGGAGGTTTTTATTTGTTTGCTTGCTTGCTTTTTGAAACAGTATCCTGCTGCATAAAGCACCATCTCCAGCAATTTTCCTAATTGTTAAAATGATCTGTTTTCAGCTGAAGATGTAGCTCCATGAGAGTGTTGCCTAGTATGCTTGAGGCCCCAGATTTGATCCTTGGCACTACGAAAAGATGTTTTTATTTAAAAAATTGTTAATGATATATTCTCAACATACAAAGAAAACAAGAGGGGCCTGCAAAATAGCTTAGCAGACTAAAGCACTTGCTTAGGCAAGCTTAGGCCAGCGCAGGTATCTCTATTTGATCCCCAGCACCACATGCCACACCAGCCCCGCCCCCCAAGTCCTGGCATGGTGGCACATGCCTGTAATCCCAGCACTGGGGAGGCTGAAAGCAGGAGGATCACTGTGAGTCTGAGCTGCATAGTGAGACCCTGTAATAACCAAATACATATTTAAAAAAAAAGAAAGAAAATAATATAGAAATAAATCTGACCAAAAATATCCACAGCTGGAGAACAGGTTTTCCGTCTCAGATCTGTAACCCTATTCCTGGGCACTTTTTTAGCCAAGGGCCAGGAGGCAGCCTTGTGCCACTTTTCAGTGGAGAAACGCACCTGCGGAGCGTGAGGGATGCACTCTGCCGCCACCCGCCTCTGAGAGGCAGAAGGTAGCACATCCCCAGGCCATGCCAGGGAGCACCTAAGGCCCTGACCTCAAACACCAGCAGAGTACCTGCCATCACAGTAACCCACATACCCTGCCACCTCCACCAGGAGTGTCAGCCAGCCACAGCTCTATGTCCTGGCAGGACAGCCACAAACCCAGTGCCATCCATGAGTGTGGACCCCCTGGATGGTTTGGGAGCATCATGGGGTGTGACCATTGCCAACCTGAGCTCACGGGGTAGCAGCCACACCCTGAGTCATAGCTTGGGCTCTGAGTATTCAGGGACCCTGTTGGGAGCACGGGCACAGACAGGTAGTAAGTGACCTCAAAATCACCCTAACAGCAAGTGCTGGGATTGCAGGCATGCACCACCACACCCAGCTAATTCTCTACAGTCTGGACTCTGGGTTCATACACCTGGTGAATGAGATGTAAGCCTTGGAGAACTGGCCGAGGGTCAGTGTGTCACCTCAGTGAACCTGCCCTTGGCTGCTGCGTCTGAAAGTGCCTTTTAGTGATGAAAGGGACTCCCACAGCAAATGACTGGCCAGCACCAATATACAATGTCACCCCCTTCTGTAGGGCAGAGCCCCCCTTAGTGCCTGGGCCAGAGTCGCTGTGTGAGGACAGGATGGGTCTTTCCTGGGGACCCCTGATCCTGCTGTCCTGGCTCTAGACTGGAGCCCTGCCTCACCCTCAAACTAGCAACAGTGCTGTGGAGCCAGCGCCACCTCATTGTGACCCTGTGCCTGTGTCAAGCCTCATGGGACAAGGTCCTTAGAAAGCCCCAGCCCTCGTGCTGACCCTCTTAATTCCCACTGTACATGAGAATTGGCTTTACAGAAGCCCAGTCATGTTCAGTTGACCCAGGCCCATTTGTCCATGAAACCTGTAACCCCCAGCCCTACCCCAGGGCTCAGGGTCCCCCAAGGCCCCAGTAGCTGAGGGTCCACCCACAGCCTTAATCCTCCTGTGTTGAACAGAGTGACTTAGTGACACTTTCCAGAGATCAGGACCCGGGTGTCCTTGGGACCTTTATTCTGCTGGGTATGCAGTCCTGGCTGTGCATCCTGAGATCCCAGGACTCAGAGGCTGAGGCAGGAGAATCACTGTGAGTTTGAAGCCAGCCTGGGTTACATAGCAAGACCCTGTCTCAAAATAAATAAAATGAAGATGGATACCCACCACCCAGGTGCCACTGCCCTTGGCTTCTGTCTACATTGTAAGCTCTTCACCGCTGACTGTGGGCCTGAGTGCCCTGTGCCACATGTCCAGCCAGTGACCCTGTACTGCCCGTGTTTCCTAGGGAATTTCCCTCAGCCTTCGCCTGCCATCCCCGGATGCCCCGCACTCCAGAGACCATGGAGTCGCTGCCCAAGGTGAAAGCATCGGCACTGGCCCCCCAGTTCTCCTCCTGTGGCCCCCAGCAGGCCAGCCGCACCAGCTCCACCGCACCCTCCACCAGGACCTTACAGGGTGAGTTGAATGGGACCTGGGCACTAGCACTCACAGGGAAGGACACTTTGTTCTGGCCTTTGGCCCTGGGAAACCCCTATTATTTATTTTTAGAATTTATTGGTGTTCTGAATCAGGGTCTCACTCTAGCCCACGCTAGAGTGAAATTCACAGAGATCCTCCTGCCTTAGCCTCACAAATGCACCCTCTGTGTGCCCACCAAGTGGGTGGCTTCCTTGCCTCAGAGACCTCTCTTTTGGGAATGTTTCCTGCTTGTGCAAACACTTTTGGCCTCTGGCTGAGCACTGCTGGTGGGGGGAGACCCTCCGACCGGGAGGGACCCTCGGGAAGGAACTCCTCCCAGCCTTGCTCTCCTGCCTGCAATGTCCCTATAGCTCTAAGCTCACCCTGGTGCTCAGACCTTCCCAGCCTCTGTCGCTGTGGCCACATGGCTGCTAAGTCAGAAAGAAGCAGGTGCCTCCCCACAGGAAGGCCAGGATGGGTACGAGGGTCCCACACTGGCCCAGGCCTCTCTCCCACCTTTGTTCACGAACAGGTCCATCTCTGCAGGGCCATCTCTGTCCCTTCCCAGCCTCAGCCAGGTGACAGCCCCACCACCACCTCCACACATGCAAATCTGTGATCCTAGAGTTTGGAAGGCTGAGGCAGGACAATTGATACAGGTTTAAGAACAGCCTAGACTACGTAGGGAGACAGTATCTCAAAGAAAGAAAGAGAGAGAGAGAGAGAGAGAGAGAGAGAGAGAGAGAGAGAG